CAGACTTACACACAGCAATCCTGCAGACTTACACAAAGCAAGCCTACTGCACTGACACAAAGCAATCCTGCAGACTTACACAAAGCAATCCTGCAGACTTACACAGATGCTTGACTCACCTTTCCAATTAGGTTTCCTTTCCGGTTCATACAGAGGTACTGCCCACTCTCTGCCCCTCTGATCCTCACCCGGCTGCCAAAAGTGTCCGTCTCCACAAACAGCCGCGCTGCTCAAACAAACAATCCCGTTGCATTGCGATTAGTGGGGAGCAAAGAGAAAAATCAAACATCTTCTTACAGCATCTAGTATTTCTTTGTAGCCTTGAAACTAGGCTGAATTTTGCATTTTTAGATTATTCTTAGAATGTTTGGAAAACTCCCCAAAACTTTACTTATTGGAATCACATGCTGTCATGCCCCCAGTGAACAACCTAAAATGACAAATAATCACTTTCAAATAGAAAATCAGGGTTTGGATGCTCATTATAAAGTGTTGATCCAACAGACACCCTCTCTGCTGTTCTCCGATTCAGAGCAGCACAATGAGTCTTCAAGACCAAGTCAGTTTAGTTCAGTAACTGTCAGATTATTAACACCCCCATGTTCCTTGTTCTGGTCCATGCTTGTTTGTAGTTCAAGACTCCGGCATGTGAATCTTGTACTTCTTTCACCCAGACTCCAGCCTGCTCAATATTTTGGATCCAAGGAAAGCTTCAGTGCACTGTATGTGCCCTGAATGGCAGGATACATCCCTGTTTGAGCACTGCAAAATGTACATTTTTTACAGCTGTCCATACCATGGCTCTATCATCCCTTTACACCTGACATCATTGAAATTTTAACAGTATGGCATAAAGTAATAGTCGCACTAACACAGAGCAGGTCAGAGGCGATGAGGAAACACAGTGTCAATACATTCTCATCATGTTTATCTTGTGTATTTTTTATTGTTGTTGTTGCTGTTGTCTTTCTGTAATGTGCTTTGAGAAGCCACCTTTAAAGGCGCTATATAAAATAAAGT